GGAGGCAAAGGCTCTCCCCCCCCCCCTCCCATGGATAGGCTGGTGCCCAGCCAGTTCCCGAGCAAGATGGCTAACCCTTCTAAAACTCCCTCGCTTCCCTTTTCTTGCTGACCATAATGTTAAATGGTATGGAATATTTCCGTGATTAGTTTGGGTCCTCTGCCCGCTTGTATCCCCTCCCAACCTATTGTGCACCCCCCAGCATGTTTGCTGGGGGGGCAGGGTGAGAAACAGAGAAGGCCTTGATGCTGTGCAAAAGTTGTTCAGCAAAAGCTAGGGCATCAGTGTGTTATCAGCATTGTTTTGGCCAAAAACCTAAAACACAGCATCATATGAGCTACTGTGAAGAAAATTAACTCTATCCTAGCTAGGCCCAGTACAATGAGATTTCTGATGTAGCAGAGTGATGCAAAATACACTGAAAACATAATACAGATGGTGTTACACTTACTAAAACATAGCAATTGCAATACACGGTTCAATCACAATACCAATGTGATTCCCGTTACAGGTCTGTATAATATGTTGACTGTTATGACGCTGGGTGTCCCCAGTCCCTGGGAAGGAATACGTGGTTTGAAGCGAGCTCAAGCCCGTTGAGCTCTTTGAAATTCTTTTGTTAGTTGTTTAGTTTTGATACCCCTGTGTTGGGCTGAGCTCTGTATTCACTGTCCCCATGCCGGTCTGGCTGGGAGAAACAATTATAGCACCAGTTGATCCACTCGGCTGATGCAGCCGTTTATCTACAACAAAGACCACCCACTGGTCCCCTTCGTGTTGAGACAACGTCCGCTTCTTTGCAATGGCCGTGGTCAGTCACACCCTGTGTTACTCCCTGAGATTCCTGGGCGCATTGCCCTTGTCCATCTCCACTGAGACGCCTTCCATCGTAGGAGTTTATCAGTCAGTCACAAAGCCCTAACTCGTGCAGTGGGCTGTACGAGGGATAGTCGGATCCTGACAGTGCTTGATTTGGATACTGCAGTAAATTCCTTGTTATTTCTGGGATGAAATACCAAACGCAATGTCTTTTTCTTAGAGTTATATTTTGGTAGGGCAAATGAGGACTGATGTGTTCTTTCCTGTAGATAAAAAAGACGATTCCTCTGCTAAAGCTTCGAAGGACAACAAAGGAAATAAGTCTGATGAGATATGTGTGTTCTATGTCTGGAAGTACTGCAAAAATAAAGGTGAGCTTTATAAAAAGTAATGTTACCTTTGGAGAGCAGTGTGTGCAGAGGCTCTCCCCGCTCGATGGCTCAGACTAGCAGTGGCATATGGAGCGGTAGTGGCCATTGTGCCTTCTCGCTCATTTGCCTTGTTTTCAAGTTGCTAATAAACACGGTCAGAATTACAAACGTAATCAGGAAAGTCAAGTGGGTGCACTCAAACCCTTTCTCCTCTAGATGATCCATGTATGGCCCTTTTCATTCCTGTTGATGAGGGCAGGCTTTGGGTATGTTTCTGTGACAAAAACCCTTCAAGTGTTAAATGTTATGTTTCTGTAGCTATTACATCAATTTAAGAGCAGGTGTTTTGCTGTCATCATAGGCAACTGGTAACAATATGTCATCCTATATTCTATGTATGTGAGATAGTAGCCATATTCTCCCCTATTAAGTCCTTCAAAAAGCGATCCAAGGTGTTAACATGTCTTAAGAAAACACAGTAGTTGTACCAGCTAAGCTAAAGATAAATCTAGTCCGTCATTGTCATGGATGGAGTGATGCACTTCACTCACAACAGAGAAGTGGCAATATGTTTAAAACAGCAGTTTTGAAAAAGTTTGATAGTAAATGTGACAGTGACTTAACAAGACTGATTATTTGCTGTATAGAGGAGAGAGTCAGACAAAACTGTCAGGGAGGCCTCCCCTTGAGTCACAGGGTTCAGAGAGGACCCTCTTGCTTTCTAAACTCCTTCTCGGAGAGGAGTCTTGGTGCATCTGGATCCAGACTTAGTCCTAGACTTGGTTGATAGTTTGTCTAAAAGATTATATGTGCACAATCAATCCTTTATATCACTATCACGAATATGATTTTTTTACATGACTTTGGTTTAACAGCAATTTAGGATTTATTAATATTTTTGCACAAGATTAAGGTGTGAAATGCTTAATAGGATGTAATCACCAGCCAATTTAACAGAGATTCAATGGAATTTGTTACAATTGAGATAGCAACTTTGAAGATTCGAGAATGGCAAGGTCACCCAAAACTTACCGCAGGGTTGCACACACAGACGGGTGTTAAATCAAATCACACCCACACAGAGATAGGCAAACAGTTCTAAACCAAATCACATGCACACACAGAGAGACAAGCAGTTCAGAGTCAAATCGCACACACGCACACACACAGAGGTTAACCTATGACCAAAACTTCCCTTTTCGTGAGTTTCATGAATTACTCACTTTTATATGCTGGCACTTATCAACAGACGGCTGGCAAATCTCGCGAAATCAGGCTGTGGAGTTCTTGCGAAATCATCAAGGGGCGATCTTTCAATGCTTGTGAAATCTGCCCTGAGAGGCCTCTCGGCTCAGGGGAGAGATGCTGGGTCACGCAGCCCGCTGCGGTCCCGGAGAGCTCCAAGGGTCTCACTTTGGATCGCTATTGATAGGACCTCAAGACGATTGACTTTTGGTCAGTATTTGCCATCCTGGCCACAACTGGTGCTGAGCCATTGTGGTATACCGTTCAGGCTGAAGATGGCCCAGGTGTGGCCAGAGAGTGCCTGAGGCCTCAGCCCACGATAACCGCATGACGGGAGCATGCAAGGCTTATCCTGAAATCTCAGAGTGGCCCGCGGGGGCTGCACCACCACAATCACCTGTCTGGCAGTGGCCAATTACAGAGGTCTGAGGGGAATAAATAAGTATAAACAATTGTATTTGAGGGCTGTCCTTGAACAGTGGCCTAACCCCCGAGTTTGGATCTTCCTTGGTTATGAGGAGGTACCATGAGATTTTCTTTCACTGAACTTGTCCAGTCACTTTTGAAAGGACTACTCCTTTTCTGGCCACCTGGTCTTGGTAAAAAATCCACTTAAATTCGATCAGACTGCGTTTACTTTCGCTTAGGATGTGGGCAATAAGTTGCCTGCTAACTGGTGTGAGATGTTTGTGTGTATTCAGCATTTCTGTAGTGGGTTTGTGTTCTAGTAAAGATGCAGTTCTCCCGTCAGAAGCTCTTTTTCTGAGAGGCAGATGAGTAAGTTACTTTAGGGCTTGATAATACCTTTTCTTAACCATTACTTTGAAGAGAAACTGTAAAAATAAATTAACTCTTGTAAGGGTATTTTGTGGATCATAGAAATTAAATCTGGCCAAGAGAGACCAAGTGTATTTTTTTTTTTGATTTTTTTTTTTTTTTGAGTATAGCTTTTCAAGTTAATTTAAGCACAGTGCTTTCAAGACAGGGTGCACTCCAGCCCTGTTAACAAAAAGAAGGAAGAAAGGAATGAATGACACAATTGTCTTCATAACTGGGGTTAATTTCCATGTATTCTGTGGTCACATACATCGGGGTCAGGAATGATGAAACTGCTTTTGGCTCTGGCTGTGCAGGAGCTACTCCAGCCTTGTACTGCATTTCTCAGACTCTGCTTCTTTAGGACCAGGCTTCAGGCTTAAGTTTATGAACTTTTAGACCTGCGTAATGGGAGTGATGTACCCATGTGCCAGCTGTGGAAGTCAGGCTCAAAGCAACTATACTATGACCGTCAAATTGCTAAACTCGGCTAACGATTGGAGAGATAGTGTGCTTTGCCATGCCGTGTTTGGCTCGAGAGTTGTAAATAAGAGGTTTGGTCCATACTCGGATGTGGACTGTACATCGGCTTCCCCCAGCAGGGAGGCCTGGGGGTCAGCCTCGGCCTGTATCCAGCAGCATGCACACATGCAGGAGTGTTAAGCAGGTCTGAACTCCGACATGCAGACGTATGTGCATTGAAAACATAGATGACTTTTTTTAAAAAAAAAAAAAACAAAAACAAACCACCCCAAAGAAGTAATCCGCTTACCGGGTGAAGGG